ATCTGAACATGACTGCCAGCCTCTCATTGAAAGAATTAAGCTTAAACTTCACCACTGGTCGAGTAAATTCCTAAGCTACGCTGGTAGAGTTGAATTAGTTAAAACGGTCCTGTGCAGTATGGCTAACTACTGGTGCAGGCAATTCAATCTTCCCCAAATTATTTAAATCGCATTAGTCAACTCTGTTCCAGGTTTCTATGGAAAGGAACTGACCAGCCAGTTGCAGGAGCTAGAGTCAGCTGGGTTAAACTTTGCTGCCCTAAATCTGAAGGTGGCTTAGGCCTGAAAAACATCAAAGACTAGAACACAGCATGCATGGTCCAGTTAATTCGTAATATTCTCGTAGGAGACGGGTCCCTCTGGGTCGCCTGGTTACATTGCTATGTAATTAAGAATGAAGATTTCAAAGACATGGCAGGGAAAGTTTCCCATAGCTGGAGCATAAAGAGACTTCTGAAACTTAGATCCACTGCACTCCCCATTCTCAATGCAGGAACTAAAACTACTAGAGATGTTTGGCAAGCTGTTAGAGAAAAAAGAATCAAAGTTAATTGGCACAAAATCATTTGGTTCCCTTCTCACATACCAAAATTCAGTATGATCGCTTGGATGGCCATCTTGGACAGACTTCCAACTCGGGAAAGATTGTCTCGGATGGGCATTGTCAATGATTGTAGATGTGTACTATGTAATGAGACTAATGAAACTAGGGACCGTTTATTTTCTGAATGCAGCTTTGCTAAATCACTTTGGAGCTCCATTCTTAATCTTACTCAACTTCATGTTCCACACATGACATGGGAAGAAAAGATTTGCTGGACTAGTAAAGAATGGAAAGGTAAATCCCTTCTTACTACAATCTTGAAACTAGCATGGACTTCGTTCATCTACTTGATATGGGAGGAGAGAAATAGAAGAATCTACCATCGTGGCTCTAGAGAAGTCGATCAAGTTCTGTCTTCCATCAAAGAGCTGGTCCGAATACAATTTAGAGGCAAAAATATCAATAGAATTGATAATGTTAATTGTATTCTATGCTATTATTGGGGCATTGACTAACCATTTTTGTTGTTAGTATTTGGTTCTCCCTTTAGGGATGTTTGTTGTAGCAACATTGCTCTTTTGGAAATAAAAGCTTACTTATCCAAAAAAAAAGTTAGAAAAGAAATTAATCTAGTCCTTTGAATAGTAAAATCAAGCGTTGATTGTTACGACACTTGCATGCCATTTCACAAACTTACATGACAATCTACATTATTGATGTGACAACTCATGATATAATTATGGCAGTACACAATGGACGATAATGTAGTAGGTAGACTTAATTGATTATTTTAGAAAGTTTGAGGACTTATTTAATTTTTGAAAAAATAAAAAATATTTAAATAAAACTATAAAACATAAAAAGTTATTAAGATATTAAATACATTAAATATAAAAATGCTAATAAATTAAACTGTTAACCAAAATTTTATTTAAGGCCTGCATTGAGTGTAAAAAAAGGTTTAGGGACCATATTGATCTTTTTACAAAAGTTTGAGAGTTTCAAATACCATTTAAGTTAAAAAAATATTGTTAAAATAATAAGGTAAATTAAAAATCAAGATATCATGTTTCCTTATTTTTAAATTTTCAAAACAATTTTAATGAAAATTTGAAAATATCTTTTTTATGTTTTCATATTTTCACTTATTTTTGTTTTTATTTTTTAAAAATTATTTTCTAATTTTACATCCAAACACGTTTTCTTCAAAATTTTCTATTTTTTAAAAAATGATAAAAAATAAAAAATGAAAATAGCTTATATTTTATTAAACCAAACAGACTCTTATTTTCGATGTGATTTTTTTTTGAAATATTTTCGGTCTGATTCAAACTATAGTTGAATGACGATTAACTGCTTATAATGTTTTAGTAATAATATTAAGGGTAAAATGCATTAGAAGTTACTGAATTGTGCTCAAGTATCATATTGGTCACCAAACTTTCTAAAATTATAAAATAACCATTAAATTTATCAAACGGTTATAAAATGATCATTTTAACGTTTAAAATTTTGATAAAATTTAATGATAATTTTGTAATAGTCTGATAAATTTAGTAATGATTTTGATAAATTATTAAATATTAAAATAAAAATAAAATAAATATTTTTTCAAAAAATAAATAAAACAAACAAGGATAAATCGAAAACGAGTTTGTATTAACCGTTTATAAACACAAGCGAATATGTATAAAATTTGAGGTTCATATTTAAAAACCGGATTAAAAACACGAAATATATTAATCTCGTACATAAAGCTAATATAGTCTCACCCATAAAAACCACTACCTCTATCCATGATTATTTCTTTTATTATTATTATTATTATAAAACGGCCTCGTTAAAAACTCTTACTAAACCAAAAAGGGGGAAAGAGTACTCAATGCCATGATTATTTCTAGGGATAAACTGCATAAATGACCACATACCTATAGGTCAGGTCGTGAAATGACCACTATTTTTAAAGTTGTGACAAATATACTACTGAACTATTTAAATGAGTTCAAAATGGCCACACGAAGTTAACATTTAACAGATATGTTTATGTGACAGTTACAAAAATTGGTATAATTAGGTGCAGGTCCTTGTAAAGTTACATATTTGCGGCGTTGGCACCTTGCTATGTTTTCTTCCATTTTGGTCACTACTTCTATATGATTTGTTTCCTTGGATTTTCATTTAATCCAATTTGATCCTAATTTTGTTTTTAATTTATCTAATGCCTTAATTTGAGCATTAACTCTAAAATCTTTTATTCTAGTCATGTATTAAATTTGTAGATTAAATCCCCTAGATTTTAGAATTAATCAATTTGATCACCATGATTAACTTTAATTCTTAATTTTTAATTAGGTTCTAATTTCAATTTAATATAACAAAATATTATTTAATCGGGTACTCGCATACTTGGTACCCAGTTTATTATTATTATTATTATTATTATTATTATTATTATTATTATTATTATTATTATTATTATTATTATATTTTTATTTTATATTAAATTTTTATTTATAATTCTCAAATTATTTCACTCTAACATTCTAAATTCCTAATTTCGTAATTTTTCCACCATAACATTCTAAATTCTTAATTTCTTAAATTATTTCACATTAACCTTCTAAATTATTTTTTAAAATATTTATTTTAACTTCGAAACATTTGAAATTTAATTAAAATTTTTTGTTTTAATTTTTAATAATTATTTTTCAATTATGTAATTTGACTTTTTAAACTTTATGTGTGAATTATATATTATAGACCTTTAAATTTAAATCTTAAATTTTAGAATTTTATATATATTTTTTTAAAATAATATAATTATAAAAAATAAAAAAATTATAAATTGGGTATCGGTGACCCGAAAATGTAGGTATCCTAGTTTTACTGGTACCCGAATGTAATAATGGGACAAGACACGGGCCAAAATTTTGATACCCAAAAACTTTGGGTACCTGGTATTTCGGGTACCCGGTTTTGAACATCCCTAGTGGTAGGACTTTAAAGGAATAAAGAGAGTGACTAAACTGTAAAACGTACAAAAGATAAAAACCTACATGTGAAAAAATATGTCATTTGTCAAGAGAATAAAATATAAATTCAAACATACTTTCACAATCATCTTCTTCCTCTCCTGTATGTACTTTGATATACATGAGTTCACAGTTTATGCTAGGGAGTGCTCGTGGTGAAGTTAGATAATTTTTATTAATTATGAAATTATTGTGATGTCAGGGATATATAATTGACATAATATAGTTAACAAATAATATGATATAATTAATATTTCATATTATTAAGTTAATTGAGAATATGACAACACTTAAATCATTAAAATAAATCTAATAATTTATTTCTAATTGATTTAAGATTTTAATATTTTTAAACTAAATTTATTGTTTTTATATTTATTTTTTAATGATTATATATATGAAATCATTAGAAAATAATTTAATATTCAAATCTATAACGTATATTATATTATAATTAATGATAATATATATATATATATATATATTATAGTTAATATTCAAACTATAATCATAAGATTGTGACATGTGTCACAATTTGATTGTAGAAATAAATCTATTAAATTAAATTGAAATTAGGACCTAATTAAAAATTAAGAATTAAAGTTAATTTTGGTGATGAAATTTATTAATTCTAAAATCTAGGGAATTTAATCTACAAATATAATACATGACTAGAATAAAATATTTTAAAGTTAATGCTCAAATTAAGGCATTAGACAAATTAAAAAAAATCATGATCAAATTGGATTAAATGAAAATCCTAGGAAACAAATCATATACAAGTAGTGGCCAAAATGAAAGAAAACGAAGCAGGGTGCCATCGCCGCAAAAGCGTAACTTTACAAGGAACCGCGCCCTAATTATACCAATATTTTTAACTGCCACGTAAAAACCTCCTTAAATGTTAACGTCGCATGGCCATTTTGAACACATTTAAATAGTTCAGTGGTATATTTGTCACAATTTTAAAAATGGTGGTCGTTTCATGACTTGGCCTATAGTTATGTAGTCATTTATGTAGTTTACCCTTATTTTTTAATAACAATATCATATTAAATACATTCTAAGAATGTATCTTATTTTTATTTTCAGAAACTCGTATAATCCAACTTAATGAGAATCTTTTAAACGATGTTATCAATTAGACTTTTATTATTAAATTAAAAGAATAAAACGTTAAATTCTTAAAATTAAAACATTGAGAGAATAGATTTCTAACGTGCAAAGAGTAAAAAAACAAAGACCGGTAACACAATTAAATCCATAAAAAGGTGAGATTCATGGTCACAATTAATGAATTTGACTGAAGTTTCCATGTACAAATTCAATCCTACAAATAGTATACATGAGCATATTAGGATAATCCATTTTATTTAATTTCAGCGTTGCTCCGTTGAACAAATTCAATAGGATTTGAACAAATTCTAAACAGTCTTGTTCACGGGATCATAATACTTGAACGCATAATATAGCACAACAAACATCAGTCCCGCCGCCGCCATCACCAAACTTGCGCCACTCGTCACTGCTGTTTTTCCCTCCATCTTAAGCCTCCAAATAGACCATTCGGGGCGAGGCGTCGGCGATACAGCATTTTCCGCCGTAGAACAGGCTGAACACTCGTCGTCAACATCTCCGCTTCGGCCAACGCTGTTCTCTTGCTTTAGTTTTCCTTTGTCTTGAACAGGCGACGACGGGGTCCCCGTCGCCGCTTGCTGCACCGGTGTAAGTGGACCCTGTTGGGAAACATCCGAAGAAACGGCCTTCTTCGGTATTGTCACATAAAGAAAACCGGAGCTGAATCTTGCCCGGATCTCGGTTGCTTTACAGTCTTTGGGAATGGCGAATTCCTTCCGGAACCGGATCCATTTACCTCCTTCGACGGGCCGTTCACCGGAAACCAGTATGACACCGTTACTGCCGAAGTGAACTTTCAGCTGGTCTTTTTTGAAATCTGAATTGATAACAAATTTTTGAACGGATCCACGTAGCATTGCATAACAAACAAGTGCTTCATCTGCATGAAATGTTTAAATTCCCATTGAAATCACATAAATATTACCTTTGAGTTGAAATTCAATAACGTCTTGGGCTTCTCCTTCTTCGTATTGGCAATCAGGCACAATATCTTGGTAAGAACGGGCCATTTTTTTAAAAGCAGTACTGTTTATTTGTGAATAAAATGACAAGAATCAAGTGTCTTGCAATACATATATATTATTAGATTAACATGTTTATATATTACATAAGAGAGTTGCTTGGCCTGATTGAATAGGTTAATTTTCTTTCTTTTCCTATGGAAATCAAAGAGAATCATTCCATTTTCAAATTCTAAGTGTTTGGTTTTGGGATATATACGTTGTAGTTCATCCCTTTCTTGCTTTATATGACTTGACATCCTCTTCTTTCCATTGATTTTGGCATGTGTACAACCTGAATATCGTTTATTTAGAAACAGAAGTCGTTAAATATTGACTTAAATTCTGATTAGAAATTAAGATAGATTTCGTTATAGTTCTACTAGTTGAAGATTACTTGAAGATCAAGTTTACTTGATTAAAAACCCTTATGAAATAAGGATTCTTGTTCTTCAAGTATTTGCCTTTATAAACAGAGAGCGTATCTTAATCTTTACAACTTTTTTAGTTTATGTTACATGGATTAAGGTAGATTTTTTAAAATATTCCAAGTTTAGATCATTTGGAAACTTTAACCCTAATAAATAACACATTAAACTTAATTTCTTATTATACCATCATCAGTTAGAAATTAGTGATTTGGGTATCTACACGTGTGTTATCCATATCTTATTTAATTATTGAAATTAAATTAATCTTAACTGTATGAGATTATTCTAATATGGACTAACCTTTTATGATAGCAAATAACTTACAATTATTTACTTATTATATATATGTGTGTGTGACGTCCATAGAATCTATCAATCTCTCACTTGACAAGCACATATATAAATATTCTCTGTCATAATCTTATGAAATCAAAAGTTTACTATCACAATTAAAAGGTATATCAAACAATCTCATCCATTAACTATATTAACATAAAATCAATGTGATTTTTACTATATCTATCATAGCTAAACTACTTATGATCATATATACATTAACATAATCAAATGATATAGATAAAGTATGGATATATATCAAGGAATATATGCGTTAGAACGGTCCTTAAATCAGATAAATATTTCATAAAAAATCAACAAGATCATCAATAATCTTTATTTTATTAAAATATGATAGGATCCCTAAAAATATTTTTATTTTAAACTGTAATTTTTTTCAAATAAATAATACTTGTTTATTTATAAAATAAAAAAATGGACTCGAAAAACAATTACATGTGAAAAAAGATTAGTGCTTAATAATGCCTAAAATTGACATCTAGTTTACTAAATTTTTCTTTAAATTGGGGATTGTGAGTTCAAATTTAAAATTAAAATATGATCTTTTATGCATGGGAGTTCTATTTTAAATGAGTGAATCTTATTTGAAAATGAAAATTTTAATTTATTTTTTAAAATTTTTATCTGTATAATTATTTTTTCGAATTAAATTGTATAATTCGTTCAGTTTTATAAATATGATGTCATTCTACTTCAAAAAACTAGCGTAGATGATCAGCAATCAATTTAAAGTACTATCTAATTAATCTTCTAACAAAATTACTTCTATTTTTTAATAAAATTAAATATGCAATGTGAACATGGATTTAAATGATACATATGCAAAAATGGATGAAAGGTAAAAACGTTTACGGTAAACTACCTATTTGATGTCTCACATATTAGTTAAAATCTATTTGATCACTCAGTTATTATTCTTTTCAAAATCATATATAACATTACATTTTGGTCATCCAATATTAAAAAATTAACAATGATGTTGTGCGGGTACTATTTTAAAAAAATATTTTTCAATCCTGAAATGACTTTATCTTATGATGATATATTAACATCACTGTTAATTTTTTAATGCAAAGATAATCCCACCTATCAACCAGGATTTTCTAAAAAGAGAAATGAGTCGCCTCTATCCTAAAAATGAGAATGTTAAGAAGCCTCCGTTGTTGAACAAATTCGAGAGATGGTCGTTTTATTTTTCACTATAAATCTCAGATCAAGTCACTTTATTACACTCCCTTGACAAAGGGGACAATATGTTATACTTTCGGAGAAGACCTCTAGAAACTATCAAATCTCCGACAATAAAGTCTCCCAGAGGACTCCAGCCTCTGAGAAGAGCCTCTACAAGATCCCAGAGACACCGCAACATCTCTGAAACCATCCTACTACAAAATCACTTTCTACAGTCCATAATATTTAGTCTTCGACGTGACCTTTGATAACTAAATTTAATAGATGACGGCCACATATGTATCGTATTCTAGCCTACTAACAAACATAATTATCATATGCCTAACATCTTTAGTTAGGGTCACCATATATATTTCTCAGTCACAATTGTGAGATGAAGCCTCTCCACTCCTTTCTCCTTCTTATCTTCCATCTTCTCTCATATACTTCCATCTCTCTTACAAAAAAAAAATATCGATCAACGACCATTATTTTATTGGTTGTAACTCTCTGTCCAAACTAGAAGGGATAAACTACGAACTGTCAATGTAATTAACTTGGTTGTGACCATTATTTCGTTAGTTGTAATTCCATTATGCTTTAAAAAAGGATAAAGTTTATTGAGCTAAACTCTTTCCACTTATTCCCCCACCAAGAATGATACGTATTGGACGATGCCACTTAAATCCAAATGCCTGACTGTCCATAAAGTTAAAATAAAGTCTTTATCCAATAAAATAATCTGCTTCAGACATTATTTTTAAAGAGACAAGTCTAACTAAGGTCGGATTTGACCAAATTAGATAGATTTTGGCAATTATTCATGTTACCTTTCTCTCGTTTTACCCATTCTCTTTTTTCATTTTAAAAAAAATTAAGGTTGCTGCTCTCTCCCTTTCGTATTAAAAAAAAATGTATGTGTGAATATTAAATCTGGGTATTGGTGATTCATTAATACTCCTATAAATATAGTTTTTTTTATTAAAACTATATTGAAATGTAAAATAATAAAGAACAAACCAATAAGAATAACAAGAAGGAGAGACATTAGAATAAAAGGAGAGGATTGTATTATTATCTTAATTTGAGTTTTGTACAATATTTTCTCTGGCTGTTATATTTATAGTCATAAATAATAAATATAATTCACGATTCTAATACTAATGGATATTAAAAATTCATTAATAATGTATATCAAAATTCATCTTATAGATAAATTAATATTCATAACAGAGTATTATTTTTTAGTTAATTTAATTACAATCAATCTAGTTTAAATTTAATCCTATTAAACTTTAAACTTAAAAATTTTAAACGGATAATAAATAATAAAGTTACAATGAATTTACTTTTCTACATAATAAAAATCACGTACAACATCAGTGGGAGGGCCCCGTTTTTATTTTTATTTTTTATTTATATAATGAATTTTGAAAATTATAAATTAATTATAAATTATCTCATTTTTCAAATAATTATAATTTATCTCTCAAACTGATATCCTAGCTCTATCCTTACGCAAGAGCATTAAATTATTTAATTTTATGGCCAATTTTATGTTTATAAAAGGTTTAATAAAAAAAGTGTCTGAATTATACATCGAAAAACATTTAGTACATAAATATTTTTTTACTAAAAATAGGTATTTAATGATTCAAACGTCACACTTTTAAATGCCTGGACGTTAATCGCGGTTAAATATTTCTATTAAATAACAAGTATCACATTCTAGTAATTTTAAGAATTTATTTAAAAAATTCAAGAAAATCAAAATATGTTTTGGAAAAAAATCAAACCAAACAACAGCCCCCACCCTGTGCTCCTAGGCCTGTAAATGAACCGAACGCACACGAATGAATGTATGTTCATGTTCGTTCATTTAATAAATAAACGAACACGAACATAAACGAACATAAACGTTGGAAACCCTACCTAGGGGTGTAAACGAGCCGAGTCAAGCTCGAGTATTGCTGAGCTCGACTCGAACTCGAAAACTTTCAAAGTCAGCTCGACTCCAAAACTCGCGAGCTTAAAATGATCAAGTTCGACTCGAACTCGAAATATAATATTGAAACTCGACTCGAACTCGAAAAGGCTCAAACTCTTGTTGACCTTTCGTCGTAATAGGTCATCATTTATCGTGGAGAAGCGTTTAAAGGTTCATCGGATATTATCGTCGTTTTACGTCGATTATGCCCGACTCCGACGTCCACAAGTCACCCACCGCCACCATTCGAACCACCGTGAAATTTCAATCAAAACACAACCATTCGACGATGACAATGATGGATGGTGACAATTTGGGTTAGGAAATTGAAATTAGGAATTAGATATTTGGATTTTAGGATTTTAGGTTAAAGGATTTTGGGTGACGGTAAGGATAGCGATTGACCAATGGGTGGGTGGCGATGGGTGGATAACTGTTCGGCGATGACGATTGTGACCAGAGATGACAAACAACGGTTGATAATGAGGTTAAATTAAGAGATTTTAGTTTTTATGTTTTTTATAATTTCAGTAAAAATAATTTTTTATAAATAATTTTTTTAATTAAAAATAATATTTTTTTATTATTAAAAAATTAAAAAATAAACGGTAGTTACATAAAAATATAAATGAAAAAAATATTAAATACTTATTTTTAACAAAAAAAATTATTTAGGTACATTTTTTTCGAGATATAATTTCAGTTATTTTTATATTAATCTTTTATAAAATAATAATCCAAGAGACTAATCATAACATATATTTCTTCAAATAAACTCCTTCAAAGCATTTCTTTAAAGAAAAAATAACAATAACATAATGTAAAAAAAGTGATTTAATTTAATATTCATAAAATAAATGAAACCTGAAAGGTTAATAAAAGAACTCAATCATTTTATATTCTTTCTTGCTCACATATTTTTGCCCTCCTCTCTCCCCTCCAGAGTTGTCTGCTTCTGTCCCTTACCATGTTTTTCACAACTCATTTATTGCACCAGCTTTTTGCTTGCTTAACAATGCAGGTAACCTATATCTCCCACTTCTCCTTATTGGCTTGTCTGTTTAATGATTCTAGAAACTGAATCTTCTTTGTTGTTCTGAGTTAAAAATGTTGTCTTTGTTGGGTTTCTCAGACAAGAACTGTACAAGTGAAGAACCTGTCAGATCTAGCTACTGAGAGGGAGATTCATGAGTTCTTTTCATTTTCTGGTGATATTGAGCACATTGAAATTATAAGGTATGTTGTTCTTTTCTGGTGTTTCTATTAAAGGGGCTGATGAATGATGAATTTGTTTGGTAGCTGAGAAAATTTGAGAAAACGAAAATAGTTGGAATTTTGCCATTTTGGATCTTGGGTCTTCATTTTGTCGGCCAAAGCTATTTTTTTAAATTGAATTTTGACTTTTTATATAATTTATTATATGGAAACCAACCTGGAAGGTAAAGCTGCTATGGAGTTTTATATATATTTTATTATGGGAAATTTAACAGAAAAAAGTAGTGATTTTTCTGGTTAACTTGGATTGTTCTGTTGTTTTATGGATTCTGCAGTGAAACTAGCCAATTAAAGACTGCATATGTTACCTTCAAAGATCCCAAAGCGCTTGAAATCGCCTTATTGTTATCGGTTCGTGCTTAATCCGATTGCATTGTTCGTTTTTGCTTAGTAGAGTGCTATTGATGCATGGATTTACTTTTCTTCTTGGCTTGTAATCCTCTGATATCGGTTACATCGAGAAATCGGCTAACCTAGCAATGCCTTTCCTTTAACTTCGTTGCTTGAGCCGAGCCTTGCAAATTCATCTCGAAAGTCGGTTGCTTGTGCCTTCTTAAAGTGAATAGATTATTGTAACTGTTTGAATTGAAATAAGTAGCTTGTAAAGTAATTCTTTACTTGTAAGTTATACAGCAATGTCAAGCTGGAAAAGTTGCCTAATTAACTTTCAATTTATGTTATCTCCACAGGATGATCAATATTTTGAGAAATGATTTCGTATTTTCATGGTTGGATTCGAACTAAATTTCTTTTTATCAGAAATGGAGAAATGTAATTTCCTATTGGTTGCTGGAATATAGCTCACTATTAGTATCATAGCTAATTAGATCACCTTGTGGTTTCGTCGGATGCTCCTATTGTGGGATAAGTGCTCCATCGGTTCCCTCTTTTTTTTTATCGGATGCTTCAGCCGTGTATGATGGGACAAATTGAAATCCTTTCCTGCTTGTTTCCAACTTTCTGAACATACACTTTAATTCCGTCGACTATATGATTCTCGATGCTCTCTTGTTCGAATTTTCTGCACTTGTGTTTTCTGCATTAGTTAACAAAAAGTTCAATATATCTCATTGAAGTATATAATTTATGTCTTCCTTTTCTATAAAGTTTGGCATTTGTTGATTAGAAATCTCTGTTCTTTTAAAGACAACACTGAACTACATAAAGGATTGTATGAACTAACATTTCTGAATCTTGTTTTGCAGGGAGCAACACTCGTTGACAAGATTGTGAACATAATTTCTGCAGAAAATTATGTACCGAAACTCGAGATTCATGTAAGTCGACTGAGAGGTTTTGCGTTCTATGTTTTAATTGCATTTACCGAAATTCTTAATTTTTATTATATCAACCTGTGTAGGAATCAAGAGCAGCAGACGGCATTATGTCCGTTTCTCCTGCTGGGCATAGTGCATCAAATGATGAGGTGCCGGTTTTAAATTTATTCCGTATAAAAATGTTTCCAAACTTAAGCGGGTCACATATCCCATTCAGAGGTTTTTTTTTAATCACTTATAGAACGTTAAATATAATATATAACATAATATTAATAATACAGATATGTCCAAAACGATAATAAAATACATATCATCAAACATAACCCGAAAAACATATAGAAATATATGTTCGTACAAAATAAAGTAGTTGATTTCTCCTGATGCCAAATCTGCTAGCTTATGGTCTGCTGTTATCTGAAAAATGGTAAAAACTACAGAATGAGCTAAAAAGCTCAGTGTGTTCCATACAGTGTATATAAAAACATACTGATAAAAATATTCCAGTAAAGTCGGTTTATGCAATCATATCGTTAAAAAAATATGAACACTACCCCCAGCCCATCACAACAGAATGTGTAGGTTCCCCAGAACCATACACCAGCCCACACAACAAATAAGGCCCTGAGCACAAAGCTGAGGAACCTGCGGATATACTTCCTTCAACAACACCTCCAATGATGGAGATGTTCATGAATGTATTTGAATGAAAACAATGATTAAATCTTTAAAACATAAAAGTGTTCATGCTTAACAATAATATACAGAAATACGGAAATCAGAAGACAAGTCAGTAGTATACAGAATTTCAGATATCGAATATTCAATATTCAGAAAATCGATATAAAATACCGTAACCAGAAATCATATCAGAAATATGTGGCAAATCAGATGTCATATACATAATGTTCAGATGTATATTTTAAAACAGAAATAATTAACACTGTCGGGAAACACACCTGTAACAGTCTGAGAAATCAGATAGGGAAGCCTATTACTGGGTCTGTCGATCACGTTCTGCTGCAGCGCTAGATCCTACGAATTGGAAAAATCCATATTGGAATCCTAATATAAATAATCTAAATATTATTTAAATAATATACGGAAACCTACTGGTAATTCTCGTAGTACGCGGTTCAGGCTGATCTAACGAACGGATAATACCGGACCTAATTGATCATTGCTCAGGTGAAACACGAGTACCTTCATAAAATATTTTATTGAATAAATCCTTGACCAAATCTCATTTAAATAATTAAAATATTAAAATATTAAGTCTTTTGGGTTTACAAGCTCGATTCAAGAATTTCGGGTCAGAATTTAGCAAAACGGACTTCGGAATCAAATTCAGGACGTCGAAAAATATAAAATATGACCTTCCGAAATTTTGAATTCTTGGTCAAAATTAAAGTCAACGGGGTTGACTGATGATTTGGAGACTTTCGGGTTTGAATTTAGCAAAACAGACATCAAAAACGGATTCGGGACGTCAAAAACTATCAGGATAGGTATTCTTGGTCGAAAACAAAGGTCGTTTAATAGCTGGTCAAAGTCAGTCAAAGTTCTGGTCAAAGGAGGTCAACAAACTGTTAAACATTTTACACAAATAGCACATTTTTTTTAAATAATTACCAAAATAGCACCCTTTTCGAATTAATTCCCAAAATAGCACCAATTTCGAATTAATTCCTAAAATATCACTTTTTTCAAAAAATTACCAAAATAGCACATATTTCAAATTAATTCCCCGAATAGCACTAAACCGGATTAATTCTCAAAATAAAACCGGTCAACGGGTCGGGTCAACGGGTCGGGTCGGGTCAACGGTCGGGTAAACGGGTCGTGACCGGTCAAACCGGTCAAAATCGGTTCAAAACCGGGTTAAACCGGTCAAAATCAGTTTCCAGCGTTCACTCGACTGCGGCGGCGCGTGTGGCGCGTGCGACGTCCTCCGGGGTTCTAAAAATCACGGAAAAATTTCTAAAAATTATTTTGAGCGATTTCGAGATACTCACAAAGATCGGTTCAAATTTTTAAACTGCGGAGAGCTCGATTTCGACTTGGCCGAATCTTTGACTGATCCACCTCCCCACGCGCCGCCGTCAACGGAGATCGAGGATGACACCGGCGGACTCGGAACGGCACAAGGAACACGATGGTGCGGGAGGTGTCGTAAACGGAGCAACGATCGGCGATGAATTTAGGATTTTCTAAGCGATTGAGCTTTAAAAAAATCGATGCTTTGACTTAAAATTCACGACGTTTGGCAGCATTTCGCTTCAATTAAATTGAAGGATTTGTTCCTCGCTCGATGATGAACACGATGGTGGTTTTAAAATGACGATCGGAATTCAGACGGCGTCGGGATCGTCGTCGGAAGTTGAGGTTGGGAGAGAGAATTTGGGAGGAATTGGTTTCTGATTTTCAGAAACCAATTCACGTATATAACAACCTATACCTAACATTTTAGGGTAAATTCAAGGTTTGGTCCCTGAATTTTCTTTAACTCTAAAACAAGCTTCAAGTTTTAAAAACTTCCAATTTAGTCCCCAAAAATCCACCAATTTTCACAATTAAAACCTCAATTCCTAATTAAATATTATTTTAAAATTTTTGGGTTGTTACAATTCTCCCCCCTCTACAAGAAATTTCGTCCTCGAAATTTACCTTATGAAAACAGATGAGGAAATTGAACCTCCATTGACTCCAATGTCTCCCAAGTAGCTTCTGAGGGGCTACGATTACTCCACTGAACTTTGACCATTGGAATACGCCTATTCCGAAGAACTCGCTCATCCCTCTCTAAAACCTGAACATGCTCCTCCTCATATGACAAATCAGGTCTCAGCTCTACCTCATCAACCTGAATGATGTGATCTGGATCTGGACGGTATCGCCTCAACATAGAAACATGAAAAACATCATGAATACGACTGAGCTGGGAAGGCAACTCAAGCTGATAAGCAACAGGTCCAACTTTCTTCAGAATACGATACGGCCCAATAAATCGCGGACTCAGTTTACCTTTACGTCCAAATCTCAATACCTTCTTCCATGGAGATACCTTGAGAAAAACTTGATCTCCAACCTCAAACTCGATATCCTTACGTCGCTTATCTGCGTATGACTTCTGCCTATCAAATGCTTCTCTTAAGCGATCACGGATCAGTCTGACAGTATCTTCAGTCTCTCGAATCAAGTCTGGACCCAAAGTTTTTCTATCATGCAACTCTGTCCAACATATAGGAGTACGACATCTGCGTCCATACAGAGCCTCGTACGGTGCCATGCGAATACTCGCCTGATAACTATTATTGTAAGCAAACTCAGCTAACGGCAAGAAATCTTCCCAACTACCATGAAAATCAATCACACAACCCCGTAATATATCCTCCAACACCTGAATCACTCGCTCAGACTGTCCATCAGTTTGAGGATGAAAAGCTGTACTGAAATTCAAACGAGTATCCAAAGCCTCGTGTAAAGCTTTCCAGAACCTGGAGGTGAATCTCGGATCTCGATCAGATATGATAGACAACGGAACACCATGAAGTCTAACGATCTCAGAAATGTACAACTTAGCCAGTTTGCCCAGAGAATAATTAACCCGAATAGGAATAAAGTGCGCTGACTTGGTGAGTCGATCAACAATCACCCAGATAGAATCCTTTTTGGAAGGAGTTAGAGGAAGACCAGTAACGAACTCCATCGTAATTCGCTCCCATTTCCACTCAGTAATCTTAATTGACTGTAACAATCCAGACGGATACTGGTGCTCTGCCTTAACCTGCTGACAAGTCAAACACCTTGCCATAAAATCTAAAAATAGTTTTCTTCATACCAGTCCAAAAGTAGCGCTCTTTGAGATTATTGTACATTTTGTCCCCACCAGGATGCATATCATAAGGACTACTATGAGCCTCCTGAAGAATAACCCGTTTCAACTCATCATCTTTAGGGACGCAGTAATGACCGTGAAAACACAAAATACCATCCTGGTCCACAGTATACTCCGAACTAGATCCTTGCTTAACTTGTTCAATAATGGGAAGCAACGAGTTATCAAGGAGTTGTTTAGCCTTAATCTCCTCGGCCAAAGTAGGTTTAACCTGTAACTCTGCTAACAAACTATTATCATCAAATAAGCTCAAGTTGGCAAATAAGGCTCTGAGATCTGATATCGCCTTACGGCTCAAGGCGTCTGCCACTACATTAGCCTTCCCTGGATGATATTCTATCTCAAAATCATAGTCCTTTAAAAGCTCCAAGCAGCGACGCTGTCTCAAATTTAATTCTTTCTGAGTAAGCAGATACTTCAGACTCTTATGATCAGTATAGATATAACACTTTTCTCCGTAGAGGTAGTGTCTCCAGATCTTTAAAGCAAAAACCACAGCAGCTAATTCCAGATCGTGAGTAGGATAGTTACGCTCATGCGGCCTTAACTAACGTGACGCATAAGCGACAACCTTTCTATCTTGCATCAAAACACATCCTAATCCAGAATGAGAAGCATCATTGTAGACAGAAAAATCCTTCCCAGATTCAGGCTGAATCAACACTGGAGCTTGAGTTAGAACAATCTTCAATTTTTCAAAGCTAGCTTGTTGGTCCTCAGACCAGACAAATGGAACATCTTTCCTCAATAGTTTCGTCAGAGGAGCTGCAATAAGGGAGAACCCCTCAACGAAACGACGATAGTAACCAGTTAAGCCCAAGAAACTACGGATCTCAGAGACGTTTCTGGGTTGCTTCCAGTTCAGAATAGCCTCCACTTTGCTTGGATCCACCTGAATGCCATCAGCAGAGATGATATGTCCAAGAAAAGTCACTTCGCTGAGCCAGAACTCACACTTGCTCAACTTAGCGTATAGCTTATTCTCCCTTAGAGTCTGAAGAACAATCCTTAAATGCTCCTCATGTTCTGCTTCACTTCTAGAATATACCAGTATATCATCAATGAATACAACTACAAACTGGTCCAAATAAGGTCGAAACACCCTATGCATCAGATCCATAAAAGCAGCAGGGGCATTAGTTAACCCGAATGACATCACTAAAAACTCATAATGCCCATATCGAGTACGGAAAGCAGTCTTCGGAATATCCGAATCTTTCACTTTAAGTTGATAATAACCATATCATAAGTCTATCTTTGAAAAGATAGAAGCCCCTCGAAATTGGTCAAATAGATCGTCGATTATGGGCAGAGGATATTTGTTTTTCACCGTGAGCTTGTTCAGTTTCCTATAATCGATACAGAGTCTCAACGTCCCATCTTTCTTCTTGACAAAGAGAACTGGGGCTCCTACGGTGATACACTGGGTCGGATAAATCCCCTATCCAACAACTCCTGGAGTTGGATTTTCAGTTCTTTAAGCTCCTTTGGGGCCATACGATAAGGAGCCATTGAAACCGGGGTGGAACCAGAATAGACTTCAATCACAAACTCGACTTCTCTATCTGGAGGTAATCCTGGCAACTCCTCGGGAAAAACATCGGGAAATTCTTTGACAATTCGGATGCCTTCAATATCGGATTGCGATCTCCTAGTGTCCAAAATATAAGCAAGAAACGCCTCGGAACCCTTCCTGATCATCTTCTCCGCTACCAAAGCAGACACAACATTCGTCAGAAATCCACGTCGTTCCCCGATCATTATAATCTTTCGATTATCTGAGGTTTTCAGAACAGCTCTCTTAGTCTCAAAATCAATATTTACTCGATGTTTGTCCAACCAATCTACGCCAAGAATCAAATCGAACTCTTCAAAGGGTAACTCCATCAGGTCAGCCAGAAAAATCTCCTCATTGATCTCTATAGGACACTCTCTAAAAATACGATCCAACACGATGGACTGACCTAAGGGACTATGAATTATCACTGAACGCTCAGTATTCTCAACAGGAATATTTAGACCCTCAGAAACGGAATGTGATACATAGGAATTTGTAGAGCCACTATCAAACAATGCAAAGTATGGAACTGAATGAATAGTAACAGTACCTGCAATCACATTAGGCCCATCTCGATCTTGTCGAAGTCTAGCAGTGTAAACCAATGCAGGTTGTCTGGCCTCAGATCTGATTGGACCCCTACTCTGAGATGCTCAGCCTCTATTAGCCGATCCAGGTGTTCTCTCCTGAGTACGACCACCTACAGGAGTCTGAACAATACTCTGAGTACGAGCGGGAGTACGAGCTGGCGTCTGAACTGTAGTAACTGATAATGGACAATCCCTTATAAAATGGTCACCAGAACCACATTTAAAAAAGGTACCAAATTTTCTCCTGCATTCCCCAGGATGAGGTTTTCCACAATAATTACATGGCTGCGAACCAGAATCAACAAGTCTAGAAGACTGAACAGCTGGAGAACCGGATGCTACAGGCCTGGCACTTGCACCACCTCTCTGAAAAGATTCACCCCTGCCCCTCTTACTAGGATGTGCAGAAGAATTAACAGAACCAGAAGGCCTCCTAAATCGGGTTTGAGCTCGATCACTATCTCTCCGGTGCTCCATACCCAGTCGCTCTATTTCCTCAGCAGTCTTGGCTATCTCAACTAAAGCATCAAAATATTCCTCTCTCGGTGAGTAGCGACTCGACTCCTGATTTCATACCTGAGTCCATTCTCAAACCTCAAGCATCGATCTATCTCAGTATCCACAAGTCCAGGAGCATATCGGCTCAATCGGATGAACTCCACCTCGTAATCCATAACAGACATATTACCTTGCTCCAGGTTCTGAAACTCCTGGCGTCGCTCCTGCAGATATCTCTCTCCGATGTAGCGACTCCGGAAGCGCGTCTTGAAAAGATCCCATGTTAATTGGTTCCTCGAAATACTACCAGAAATGGATTGCCACCATCTGAAGCTTTCTTTCTTCAACATAGTTAGGGCCCCCTTTAACTTTTGCTCAAGTCTGAGGTCCATCTCATCCATAATCCTCTATGTGTCCTCCAGCCAATACTCAGCGTCTGTCGGAGGTCCACCAGTAATACCCTCAAATGGTACTACACCAGCAGCAACCAGAGAATTTGAAATCTCCACTGCAGTCATGTTACTAGGGGCTCTAGCAGCTCTCTGAAACATGCGTAAGATAGCTCTATTAATGGCGTCTTTATTCATCTCAGTATCCTCATCTTCAATGACGAGAGGGTCTCTCATAGGAGTAAACTGATCCTCATGAGAAAGAGTCGGATCTACTTGCGGAACAGGAGGATCACGTGCTGACATCGGATTGTCTATCCTAACAGAAGGTCAAGTGATTCGCCCTCTACCACGTCCACGTCCTGTCCTACGACTTCTAGCAGCATTCATCGTTGAATCTATAAGGCTATACAGAAGAATTTGAAACATATGTCAGATTAGCATCAGGGATCTCGAGAAAACTTTAAATCATAACATAAGGTGACATTTTTTTTATTTCTTAAAAATTCAAAGTTTAGGACCCATATACAGTCCGAGTGTTTAAAACTGAAAGCTCAGATACCACCAAATGTAACCCCCTCAGACCCGGTCTGTAAGATAGACCCAAACCTAAGCGGGTCACATATCCCATTCAGAGGTTTTTTTTTATCACTTATAGAACGTTAAATATAATATAGACATATATTAATACAGATATGTCCAAAACGATAATAAAATACATATCACCAAACATAACCGAAAAACATATAGAAATATATGTTCGTATAAAATAAAGTAGTTGATTTCTCCTGATGCCAAATCTGCTAGCTTATGGTCTGCTGTTATCTGAAAAAGGGTAAAAACTACAGAATGAGCTAAAAAGCCCGGTGTGTTCCATACAGTGTATATAAAAACATACTGATAAAAATATTCCAGTAAAGTCGGTTTATGCAATCATGTCGTTAAAAAAATATGAACACTACCCCCAGCCCATCACAACAGAATGTGTAGGTTCCCTAGAACCATACACCCAGCCCACACAACAAATAAGGCCCTGAGCACAAAGCCGAGGAACCTGCGGATATACTTCCTTCAACAATACCCCCCAATGATGGAGATGTTCATGAATGTATTTGAATGAAAACAATGATTAAATCTTTAAAACATAAAAGTGTTCATGCTTAACAATAATATACAGAAATACGGAAATTAGAAGACAAGTCAGTAGTATACAGAATTTTAGATATCGAATCTTCAATATTCAGAAAATCGGTATAAAATACCGTAACCAGAAATCATATTAGAAATATTGGCAAATCAGATGTCATATACATAATGTTCAGATGTATATTTTAAAACAGAAATAATTAACACTGTCGGGAAACACACCTGTAACAGTCTGAGAAATCAGATAGGGAAGCCTATTACTGGGTCTGTCGATCACGTTCTGCTGCAGCGCTAGATCCTACGAATTGAAAAAATCCATATTGGAATCCTAATATAAATAATCTAAATATTATTTAAATAATATACGGAAACCTACTGGTAATTCTCGTAGTACGCAGTTTAGGCTGATCTAACGAACGGATAATACCGGACCTAATTGATCCTTGCTCAGGTGAAACACGAGTACCTTCATAAAATATTTTATTGAATAAATCATTGACCAAATCTCATTTAAATAATCAAAATATTAAAATATTAAGCCTTTTGGGTTTACAAGCTCGATTCGGGAATTTTGGGTCAGAATTTGGCAAAACGGACTTCAGAATCAAATTCAGGACGTCGGAAAATATAAAGTATGACCTTTCGAAATTTCGAATTCTTGGTCAAAATTAAATTCAACGGAGTTGACTGACGATTTGGAGACTTTCGGGTTTGAGTTTAGCAAAACGGACCCCAAAAACGGATTCGAGACGTCGAAAACTATCAGGATAAGTATTCTTGGTCGAAAACAAAGGTCGTTTAATAGATGGTCAAAGTCGGTCAAAGTTCTGGTCAAAGGAGGTCAACAAACTGTCAAACATTTTACACAAATAGCACTTTTTTTTAAATAATTCCCAAAATAGCACCCTTTTCGAATTAATTCCCAAAATAGCACCAATTTTGAATTAATTCCCATAATATCACCTTTTCTAAAAAAATTACCAAAATAGCAAACATTTCAAATTAATTCTCTGAATAGCACTAAACCGAATTAATTCCCAAAATAACACCGGTCAACGGTCAACGGGTCGGGTCAACGAGTCAGGTCGGGTCAACGGTCAGGTCAACGGTCGGGTAAACGGGTAAACGGGTCGTGACCGGTCAAACCGGTCAAAACTGGTTCAAAACCGGTTAAACCGGTCAAAACCGGTTTCCAGCGTTCACTCGCCTACGGCGGCGCGTGTGGCGCGTGCGACGTCCTCCGGGGCTCTAAAAATCACGGAAAAATTTTTAAAAATTATTTTGAGCGATTTCGAGATACTTACAAAGATCGGTTCAAATTTTTGAACGGCGTAGAGCTCGATTTCGACTTGGCCGAATCTTTGACTGATCCACCTCCCCACGCGCCACTGTCAACGGAGATCGAGGATGACACCGACGGACTCGGAACGGCACAAGGAACACGATGGTGCGGGAGGTGTCGTAAACGGAGCAACGATCGGCGATGAATTTAGGATTTTCTAAGCGATTGAGCTTTAAAAAAATCGATGCTTTGACTTGAAATTCACGATGTTTGGCAGCGTTTCGCTTCAATTAAATTGAAGGGTTTGTTCCTCGCTCGATGATGAACACGATGGTGGTTTTAAAATGACGATCGGAATTCGGACGGCGTCGGGATCGTCGTCGGAAGTTGAGGTTGGGAGAGGGAATTTAGGAGGAATTGGTTTCTGATTTTCAGAAACCAATTCACGTATATAACAACCCATACCTAACATTTTAGGGTAAATTCAGGGCTTGGTTCTTGAATTTTCTTTAACTCTAAAACAAGCTTCAAGTTTTAAAAACTTCCAATTTAGTCCTTAAAAATTCACCAATTTTCACAATTAAAACCTCAATTCCCAATTAAATATTATTTTAAAATTTTCGGGTTGTTACAGTTTGACAGGAGAGTCGGGCTGACCGAGAAACTGACTGTGGGAATCTCAGCCGTTAATGAGAAAGTAAAATCTGTGGACCAAAGGTTGCAGGTGTCGGATAAAACAATGGCTGCAATATTTGCAGCAGAGAGGAAAATAAACAACACGGGATCAGCCGTCAAATCTAGCAGGTAAGATTTCTCCTTTCAGCACGGGTGCAAGTCCACCCACACTGCTTCAAAGACAATAACGAGACGTAAAAAAGGGTCACCATCCTTCTAATCGTCTTTGTCCTCGTGTTTTATTCTGGACAGGTACGTAACTGCTGGGACAGCTTGGCTAAACGGTGCTTTCAGCAAAGTTGCAAAGGCCGGGCAGGTTGCCGGTACAAAAACCAAAGAAAAGTTGAACCTAGCAATGTCAAACTTGACTGCCAAGGTATGTCATTCCACTAGCACTTGGAACCTAAGAAACATCTGTCGATCTTCCATGCTAATCGCACCATTAATTTTGTTCCAGTGTAGGATGCAATTGCAGTGTAAGTTGGAGAATTTCTCATCTTAAGGTCACTTTACAAATTGTTATCGACATACGCATCGGATGATCTTGTTACAGCGATTTATCGAGAGGATCGAGATGCTTGTGTTAGAGTGCACAAAGTTGTGTTCAGTTTTGGGTTTTTTGTTGTGTGAACTTATGCAAATGCAATGTGCTGCGTATTCCATTTGATCCCTGTTTATTTTTGCAATATATTCTTTGATTACTAGGGAGTATTGTTGTAATTTTCAAGCTTTTTACATTTCTTTTTCACTTATGAAGAAAAACAGAAGCCATGTTATCATTGTGCAACTTGACTCTTATGTTTTTCAAATTTTCTTCCTTTTTTGACTAAATTTGAGATTGCACTCAATCATCAATAAAAATTGTCTCAAAAAGTTATAACACATTAAAACACGGATTGATTTTGAATTTGAATATGGTTAGGGATCAACATCATAATTTGATCACTGATTAGTCTTTTTTTTTGGTAAAAGGTGATATATATGTAGTTATGTTATATTTGTTTTCTTATCATATTTATATTTTGTTATTTTCATGTCAAGTACTATAAATTTATATATAATTCATACACATTAATTGTTCATTATATTTTTTTTAGGTAAACTATACCTGATGTTATTCTTTTGTTTTTGGCCTTAATTAGTTAATCACATAAGGATTTACTTAATTATAGTCTATAGGGGTTGCAACGGGTCGGGCAGACCCTAACACTTGCTAGTACGATTTTAGAGAGTCCCCATTATATGTTTCGGGGGACTTTTTTGTCCCTATATCCATCCCTTACGGATCCCTACGGGTTTCGGTCAATCTCCATCCCCAAAAATAAATAAACATTTTTGAAATCAATACAACACCTAAAACTTGTAAGATATATCAAATTATCTCAAATTGGTCTCTATTTATAATATAAAAGTTTTAAATGTCAATATTCATCTAACATTCAATGTATATGTACAATCCTAACCATTTTTATTCTCAACAAATCAATATATATTAAATGAGAAAAGATCTAAACTTCAATTTTAGTTCATTTGAGATGTAACAGTGGCAACATGTAATCTCACAATCTTATCATATATATTTTTTATTATATATATATATATATATATATATATATATATATATAGGGTATATAGGTAAATAATTATAAATATATTTTAAAATTTTGTAAAATATCAGGGATCCCTACAAATATTTTTCGGGATTCCCCACAGTTATTCACACGAGTACAGTTTGATTATCCCCGAGGTTCAGATATAGTAATCTCCGTCCCCATCCCCAATTTGAGCTTCGTGGATAAAACTTCCCCCATCCCCATTCCCGTGAGTGAAGAGTTTGGTTATTCCCCATCTCGTAAGTTCGGATCTCCACGCTTTTCGGTTTTCGGTTTTTCTCCACCCGATTACCACCCCTAATCAACTAATTTATGAAGGATCAAATTATCATATAAGCCTTTAACTATAAAGAAGTGTTGTGAAAAAAAAATGTGATATCTAAATTTAAAATGTTTGACATTGTTGTAAAAAAGTATATCTAAAGTTAAAATGTTGATTTTAGAAATTAAAAATAAATTAACCTAAATGATAATTTGATATTAAAAAATGAGAGTTAATTTTTTGAATTGTCTAAAAGTTATTTTTTTATATAATTTTTTAGTAGTTATCATAAAAATTATTTCATTAAAAAAATATTAATTTACAAATAGATAATAAAAAGGATGATAAATTGCTAATCTATTAATTTTTAATAAACAAAAAACATTAAATTATTAATTAATATTTTATTACACCCAAAAATCAAACCTTATTTATTATTTTAATATATTTATGGATTGTTACTTTGGAGTTTAGACTTTAAAATTAATTCATTCACTTTTTTGATAATTTTTAGGTTAAATTTATTAATTTATGTTTATATTAAACTCTATATAGTATTAGTAGATTTTACCTATGATTAAGAAAATAAGGTAAAAATTTCGGTGAGCTTAATGAGCAACAAAGCAAGCCACGAGCAACGGGGTTTTTTAACGAGTATGAGTCGAGCAAAATTTTATCAAACTTAACAAATAACGAGTCGAGTCGAACAACAAAAAATTTTACCTACCACAAGTAGAATACTGCCCAACTCGCGATTTACGTTGTTGCATAAATTGTGCAACTTTGGAAATGTAATCATCCTTGGTAAGTAGAGGTGGATTGAATTGGTTATTAGATGTTGTAGCGAGAGATTTATTAATTGAGTTATTCTTTGGACAACGTCCCATAAAATAGATGTTACCAATATGTATAAACAATCTTGGAGTCTCCCATTTATGAAAGGAGATGTCGTTCCCTTAATCACTTGACTTTAGTTCAATAGTATAATGGAATCAAGGTTGATTAATTTATTTAACTTCAACTAAGTCATATATTCTAAGCAAGAAATAAAACAAACATCAATAAAAAGACAGATTGGAATAAAATCATATATAACATCTTTTAGAGTACAAGTCACATTTATATAACCATTGCTTATGATATGTTGATGAGACGTACATCATGATTAGTTAGTGAGACTGAGTACCACCTCTTTTATTGATATTCGATTGCTTGATGATGTCGAATACCATTGTTATTCATTACCTGAATGCTTATCGATACCATGTGTTGTTACTATTAATTATATTTGCTTTATGAATTATACGATCGATGTTAGGCGATACTAGTTATCGTTGTTAATTGCCATATAACTTATTGACATTAGTATGGATGTGAGAATAAGTCTTAGTGGCAAGAAGTAGAATGTGAATGATGATACTAATGTCTATATCATGAATGAATGTTGATAAGTATGATATTCTTATTGATGATGGAACATGTCTAAACTTATCCATATATATTTATATTGTTTAACATACTTATGTTAATGAATTGCAAAAAGTATAGTAGGATATAGGGGGTTACATTGGTAATTTTGGTTCAAAAGGTGTATTTCATACTATTATATTTTAACTTTTGTTATAAAGAAAAAGTTTTAAAATGCATAACATTATTATAGGTAATTAAATATTTTTTAAATAATTTCATAGGATTATAAGGTAATATAAGTTCATAATCTTACTTAATCTTTGATAATACACATCTTGCAGATACATCTATTTGAGCCCAAAATCTTAAAAGATAACAACATTCCCTCAAACTACTAAGACTAATCAATGAATAATTATTAAAACGTATATATAATTGAATATCGAGCGTTTAAAGATAGTCATAATTTTCCTCGAAAAATTTAATCATATATTATTAGTAACTCTGAATTTAATTATCACTTATTTAATTGCATTCATTTTGAATAATCCAATCCCCTAAATTAGTATTGATATTCAATTATACTTTTTAAATACATAATTTCATATAATTTTTGTTTTTAAAATTATTTTTTATTGAAAGATAATAAATTAAACCACTTGATTTAAAAATTAATCTAACTAAGGTTTATGTTATTAAAAGTCAATCCATGGATTTGATTTATTTCAACGAAGATGGTCTAATTATTATTAACGAAGAAAAAAAGAAATCATAATTTCAATAATGTTTTTCAATTGATTTTTATATTATATCTTAACTTATATTGTTTCTCATAAATTAAAATTATTATTCATGTAAATATAAAGAATATAATTATAAATGCAATTAATTAGTCCATTGTGAATCTATTGAGCATTTAAGTAGTTTAAGGGTGTTTTACCATCTAATATTATATTCAATATTTTTAATAAGGGAAATAGCTCTCTTAGGGTCCGAGGGTCTCTGACCCCTGTTAAAATTTATATATTCGATATAATTTTGGTTTAATAATATTTTAGTTCATGTAAAATAAATATTTAAATTTAAAAAATATAAAATTTATTAAATATTTAATCAAGTAGGGACTGAATGAAAAATGATAAGTTTGTGTTCTCAAATTTGTGGTCTAATTACAATTTAAGTGATTGTAAGTTTAAATATTAGACAAATTAGAAGTTATCTTTTGTGTTTTGCGTTATGAGTTTTTTTTTTCTAATTTAGGGTGAATACAAGGTAATATATGTACAAAAACTTTCAACTATTTGACAATGAACGCTCATACCCCTACATACGCGCTTGAACTCGGGACCTCAAGGATAACAACAATCCCTTAATCACTAAGGTAGCTTAGTTCATGCTGAATTTAAGTATCCCAATGAATATATTGATAATATATTTTTTTGCATTTCACAAGTAAAAATAAAATATATGCTTATTGTTAAAATTTTGCTAGAATGAATAATTCCTCATATATTATTTCGAATGGAATCTATACAAATATATACAATTTTTAATCTAACTAACTCACTTCAATTAGTTACAATTAAAACAGAAATAACAGACTTTGACTTATAACACTCCCCCTCAAGTTGGTGGGTAGAAGACATCCTTTACCCCCAACTTGGATACAAGATACTCATGTTGTTGTACTCCTAGAGAATTAGTAAACATGTCTGTTAACTGCTCTGAAGAAGGCACAAATTCTGTCTTGATAAGTCCTTCTTATATTTTCTCCTTTAAAAAATGACAGTCAACTTCTATATGCTTTGTGCGCTCATGATATACTGGATTTGCTGCAATCTAAAGAGCAGCCTTGTTATCACAATACAACTTGATTGGATACTTCTTTTCTAACCCAAGCTCATTAGCTAAACTATTCAACCAAGTCAATTCTGTTGATGTAACAGGCATGCTTCTGTATTCTGCTTCAGCAGATGATCTGGCCACAATATTCTGTTTCTTGGACTTCCCTGAAATCAATGAATTTCCAAACTTAATGCAGAAACCAGAAACAAATTTTCTTGAAATAAGACATGCAACCCAGTCTCAGTCACAAAATGCTTTAAGTTCACAACTGCAGTTCGAATCCATCAAGATCCCTTGACCATGATTCCTTTTTTATATACCTCAATATCCTTAATGTTGATTGCAAATGAGATTCTTTAGGTTGTTGCATAAACTGACTCAAGTGATGCACAACAAAGGATATTTCTGGTCTAGCATGTG